AAAATTTAAGTGTTTTCCAAAATTCTTTAGGGTTGCTTTGAAATTTAAATCGCAAGTATCCCTTTTTTTCCATTTTAATAGAATAATTAACAGTATTTCTCAATTCCTTATAGTAACTCCAGGCCTCCGCAGATTTTTTGTGTTTATAACTTTGTAACGCTTTATCCCGTAGGCGCATCACTAGCCTAAGATTCTCGGTCAACCACGGTGCCGGCATTTTTGAACCGTTTTAAAAGGTGCAAAAATGCTAAAAATATTTTCAATGTTAGAACTCCAAAGGTCGGCCATATCGTCAACATTTACAACAGTGAACACTTCATTCCAGTTCTGACCCCGAAGGTGTTCCAAAAACAAATAATTATCAAAATTTGAAAAGTCACGAAATGTGTACAAAAAAGGCTCAACTTTCTCCTTTTTAATTTTAATTGAGCAAGAAACCAGTGAGTGATCTGAAATGTCCTCCATCGGTATCACATGAACCTTATTCACTAATGAAGTTATAATCACGTCAATCAAAGTTTGTGAATTCTCTGTGACACGAGTGGGTTCCTTAATAATCTGATGTAAGTTATACCTTTGAAGAAAATTATTTATTAAATTGGAACCATTGGAGTTTTCAGACATATTGACATTTATGTCTCCCCCAAAAAGAACCAGATCGAATTCAGGCATAAAAGAGGTTAAAGTCGTTCGCTATTCACCCTGAAAATCAGAACGGGAAGGGAAAAGGAAGGTCAGAATAACGCTAGATAAATATAATATATTTAATGTTCTAGGGTAGAGATTGCATTTAGTGTAAAACACACCAGTATTACTATATTCTTACCATCCTAAGCCAGCACGTCTCTTCAGGCTGAAAAGGGTCTAAGGGCACCTAAGCGAATCCTTCGGGTATAAGCCCAAGCTTGATCTTTGTGGTTAGCAGTTGCTAAGAAAACCAAACCAACATAAAATATTGAAAACTGGAAAAGATGAGTGCTGCCGTTTGGCAGGGTTTTGACAGGTGTCAAAATGGTTGACATTTTTCGACTTAACTTGGTCGACTTAGTAGAAATAGATTTTTTCTTCATCAAAATCTGCTATAGTTACTCTGCTTTTGGATATAAGATTCCAATATTTGACAGCTAATCACGCCTCACCTGTCATATATACAGGGGCGAGTTCAGGAATGACCCACCCAGTGTGAGTGTGACACCGGTGCGGCGCCCTAGCTGTTCAAAAATGCTAGACGGTGCTATGGTCCCAATGACCAATTGTCAATTCAGGCACACCCATAAAATCGCACTCGCACCCTGTGCGTTATTTCTGAACTTGGCCCAGGATTGTGCCCATGGTAAAAAATGTTGTTTATGTCATACCAATACATTATTGTGTTTTTATACCTTAGATACCATCTACATAATTCATTACTTTACGCCAGTGCGGGCATAAAGTACACATTATGGCCCGCGCGGGCATAAAGACGCAAAAAACCATTTTCAATTAACTTATTCTTTATTAACAAAGTATAAATTTACGCTGATAAACATATTATTTTTGTCAAAAAATTATGGTGTTTGCACACTGATGACAATTTGTGAAGTGACAATTTTTTCCCAGGTATTTATTATTTACAACCAACTGGTATGACATAAAAGTTTGTATGCACCACGGGTACTAATAGATATAGATATATACCCTCGGGCGACTTACGAACCCTCGGGCCAGAGGCCCTCGGCTTTGTAAGACTGTCGCCCTCAGGGCATAATCATCTACTTAGTACCCTTGATACATAAATAACTAAATATTACGGCATCCCCAATAACATATTTAAATTTCATCCAAATATCAGGGGTAACCAATTTCCATTTAAATATTGCGGGGTCCTTTGTACTGTTTTTTATTAGATTTGGAATTAACTCAATTAGAAAATTATTGTAATTATTGATTCAGGTGTCCCCAGGATTTGGCAGTTTGCATTTCTGGGAGAGTTGCCCTGAATGTCATTGCATACTGACCACATTGCTTTGTTTTTATTATCTGATGATCTAAGTACCTACCAACAATCCGGTGTTAGAATAAAACATAATTCAAAAAATAATATCAGTATGTAAATTCTTAAAGAATTTAAGAATGCATTTCTTCCAATTTTATGCACACTGGTTCATTTAACATTTACCACCTCTAGCACACCAAATTCACTGAATAAAGCCAAAATTGTACCACTTTTCAAAACTGGAGGTTCTAAAATACCAAGCAACTACTGGCCAATCACTGTCCAAAATATTGGAAGCTTGTGTCAATGATCAACTTGTACACTTACATGAATCATCTAACGCCTTTTTGAAACAGCAGTATGGCTTCAGGAAAAACTCAAGTACAATTCTGGCAGCTAAAGATTTATTTACCGATATCTATTCATGAATATACTGCAATTTTATATCATGTGAAGCAATTAAAATTGCAGTATATTCGTAAGAACAATAAATAAGGCCACCGTACCAAATTTCAGCGCTATGCGACAATTTTTTTTTTTTTTTTACTTTTTGAAAAATCCCGCGCGACGTTTTCAGGCCAATGAGTCATTAAGTAATTAACGAAAAAAAAAATCCGCTGGGGCATTATGAGAGGAATAAATGGGCTGCCGATTGTCGAAAACTGTCACCAAATATTTGGCCCCGTTTAGAAATTACAGTGAATGCAAGAAAGGGGTAGTTTTCGATGCAATTTACAACTTCCTCGCACATTAGACAAGTTCGTGCTCGCTTAATTTTCAAACAAAAAATTCGAACAAAAAAGCATTGGAGAGTGCATTTCATTAGCAATAATGTGGTGTTTGAAAAATTGAAATCGGATTATGCATTCGGCCGCTGCTGCAACAAATGCGCGCAAAATGGCAAAACGTTGATTCAGTGACCTTGAACAAAAACATGCTACTATTCAAGACGATGCAGAAAAAAAACTATAGAAGATAGAGGGGCGCTGTCGCTGAGTTTTTTATAGCAGAAAACTTCAGCTACAACATTCATTTGAAACTTTTTGCTATTGAACCATCCCTTTGAGCAGCGTTTTCCATAAACCGCAAATTACCCCTAAAAACCACCCCTAACTGAAAACCCTATGGAAGTACAAGGTCGCAAACTTAATATGTTGTTAAGCATATTAAAATGGACCGATCTCCCGAAAAAAATTTCAACTTCTAATTATGTTGAGGTAAACCCTCTTTTCAGATCCCCGTTTCTTGGACTAATATAAATATCAGTATTAGCGGAATGGCCTGACAGGAATGGCTTTAGCTTGGTTGAGGGAATACTTACTTGTTTTTTTTTATTAATAGAATAACAACAGTTGTACAATAATACATGTTAACAAAATATAAACAAACCAAAGTCTTACAATGCTGTTATTGTCCTTAGACAGCAAAGCTGCTGGTATCAGGACAGAATACTATTAAGAGTGTACAATCAAATAAATAGATAGATACTTATGATTAATCAATTTGATTTACTGGATAGAATACAACACGTGACTGTTAATAATACACTAAGCACTACAGCTGACGTCATGTGGAGTACCAAAAGAATCTATCTTAGGATCATCTCCCTTCTTAGTATGCATCAATTCTATAACAAACTGGAAGAGATCTTAACTTGGTTCAAACAACCATAGAACAAGATCTAGCACCATTAATAGATGACTATGTTTCCACAAACTCTCACTTAACTTAAAAAAATGAAGCTATGTGATTATTTCCAACAATGCTATTTGGCAAACCATTATCCTAAATTTAGGCCAATTTAACTTCAAGAAAAAATTGTGTATCAAGTCTCTTGGTTTACTCATTGATCATAGGCTTACGTGGGAACCTCACATATCCAATCTCTGCAAAAAAAAAATAGCACCCGCTGTAGGAATTCTTGGTAGAGTTGCCAGATACATCAACGTATCGCAACTTGAAATGATTTATTATTCGTTGATTCACCCACATTTATCATATCTCATCCTAATATGGGGCAATACCTGACACATCCATCTCAAGCCCCTCATGGTCTTACAAAACAGAAGCTATAAAGGAAATATTCCAAGTTCCATTGTCATATCTAACGTCACATCCTGAGTATAAAGTCTCTATATATTCCAAATATGTACTTTCATCCATAACTGCATATTAAATATTCACCCTAGCTTATTTTCACCCCAACAAATGCAATCCACAACTGTAGTACCAGACAAAGAAATACCTTACGACCAGAAGCATTGAGAATTGGAGGACAGAGGAGTGTGTCTTTTCAGGGCCTTGCTTACTATAACAGACTTTCTAATGTTCCTCAGAGACTGCCTAAGTGTGCCCAACGGATTCAGAAGTCGTTTATTCAAGTTTCCTCTTACAAATCCTAATCCCAATGTGTTGTTCAAGTGAATGAACCTAATAAGGGAAATGTGTTTTGGTCAGTTTTCAAACGAAAAAGTTTCCTTAACTTTTAGTTGTCTTGGAACAAGACAAAAACTGGTTATGCATTATACTCCTGTTTAGAGAGCAATAAGCAAGAGAATGTCTAGATCAATTTTTTTGAGCTAAATTGGTTAGTTAAAGTTAAAGTAGTTATCTGACGTGAAGGAAAACTCCCCTCACAAAATCTAAGGTTTTAATAATGATGATAAATATAATCCAAGATATGTAATTTCACATGTTCAAAATATATGTTCAGTACGGCAGCCAAAAAATTGTTTAAATAAGCACAAAGGGATGACAATGACCTTTTCAAACCTATTAAAAAATCTGCGATGCAAGCCTCTTGGAGGCCTGTTAATACAAATGATACAATTACAATTTCATTCAGAAATAGTATAGCATCAAAACATTTTACAAGATAAAAGTTCAAGAAAGCTGAAAACTCTGTGCTGTTATGAACTGAAAAGTCCTTTTATGCTGACCCTATGGGGAAGTCTACTAAAAAAAGAGGCTGATAATTTAAAATTACCAAAAAAATAAGTAAAAACCCATGATAACTTTTTTTCAGAACCCCAAGCATGTTTCAAGAATTTATTAAGCAAACTTTGCTATCAGAATACCGATGAAAAGGATCTTTTAACTTACCTAAACACTATGGCTCAGCTTCTGGACCATTATGAAAATAAATTTGAGGAAATTAAGTTTAGTAAAAAAGAGATTCTTACATGGTAAGTACCAATAAAATTTTTTATGCAGTTATAACTCAATCCACATTTTTTTTTAGCCTCAGATTAACATTAATGAACGAATCGTGTACAATAAGATCTGCAGGTCTAAGATGTATCCGACATACCATTCAAAACAATGACGATGTTGCCAGTATTAATAATTTACGAATAAACTTTTTAATTTCAAAGTGAGTCTACTAAATAAAGTAACTTCAAGCTATACAAAAATTTTCAGGTCGTTAGATTTAAAAAATGACATGGAACGTATTGAAGCCATAAAACTCATAAGAAAAATCGGAATGTTAGCTCCTGACATGCTTGACATGTCAATGACTAGAAGTTTGGTGGCTTTAGCCAATGAAGCCACTGAATGCAAAGATAGACTTCTTAGGATATGTTTGGCAACATTGTCGGAAATTTGCCTGATCAATCCTACACTTTTTATCAAATCCGAAGGAGTTCAAGTTATTACAAGAAACCTCATAGATTGCCAAATACCAAAAATAGCAGAAGCCCTTTGTGGAGTGTTACTTTTGTTAATGGACAAACCTGACACACGTGCCAAAGCTGCAGTGGATTTGTACAGCATTGCTGCGCCTTTTTGTGATTTTCATTATAAACACGGTTGGAAAGATATAACGAGGTATATTTTTGTTTAGGATGAGATATTTGTTATTAATGTATGTTTGGTTGTTACAGAGATGAACGCAAAGTCCGCTTGAACTGCAGCCGTTTGGCTTTATTGACAGTTTTGAAGAGCTGGCCAGGGCTACTGCATTTTTGTAATCCCAAGAATCAGGGAGGATTTAGGACTATAGTTGAAGTTTTGCATTTGAAGCAGATCGAAGTCAGGGTAAGTGTGATATTTTTGGTGTGTGAATAATGTTGCTTAAGTTTTGGAAAACTGTTCCATTTAATTGTAGACAAACTTGGCATTGATATGTCTAAAGAATTCAATCTACCTTCCTTGAAAATCCTATGTACCCTCCTTGAATGAAAATCCTATGTACCCACCACCTTGTTTTCTTATTTAAAATCTATTTGAGACTAATTGATTGTGCTATGCAATTAAGGATGCCTTAAGTTAATTTTGAAATTTCACGTTCCTGTTCATCCTACAAATATAGAAATAACCAATGACAAGATTGCTTAGTTTTGATATAGATAACATATTTCAATATAGTGCCAGTGTTAAGATTTCTGGGATGGTTCAAAACTATTGGTGACTAACTTTTATTCCTTTTTAACTTCCAGAAAGCAGTCCTAGACCTCCTCTACGATCTCCTAGGACTTCAACAGCCTGAATGGACCGATGAACTATCAGTGGCCCTCAGTGCAATAGATCCTTGCGAGCCTCAATCCTCCTGGAGACTCAAGGAAGATTTTATTGCAGCCGAAGGTAGATCGATACTGCCTCATCTTGCCAAAACTACTCCGTCACCTACAGAAATGCATTTGGCCCTTCTGTTATTTTGCTTTTTGGAATGTGGCCTTTTAGGAGCTTTGACTGAAGTCATTACTAGTAGTGATACGTTTATTAGTGTCAGGGCTACTGTGCTTTTAGGTGAACTTATAAGACTTATTCAACTGTATTTACCTCCTGGTTGCAGTGGGGTCACCCCATCTATGCCATCCTTATTGAAATATGCTACCACTAGTAAACCTCAAGCTCTTTCAGCTTTACTTGCCTTAGTACAGCTGCACAAGTAAGTTTAATTTATTCATTAATTTTTTTTATTCATTGAAAATTTCTTTTTGTAGATTAATGCAAAAAAGGCCAGCTTCATACAGTTTACATTTAGATTACATCATACGGAATAGCTCTAGTATGAGGGGAAAGCAGAAACAAGAAAGGCATGCTCGAAATAAGGGGCTAAAGTCCAAATTGAGTCATGTTAAGGTAAGAAACATATTGTTTTTAAATATAATTTTTAGTTAATAATCCTCTTTTAGGCTGTTTTAAAGGATGGAGACGATATAGTAAAAGAAACTGGAGTGTTATCTAGCAACGAAGTAAAAATATGGAATTGGAACCTTATTAAAATGATTCTCAAGGTAAGAAACTATAAGTAAACCTTTAAAAATGAAAGCAAAATTATTAAACAAACATCCTAATTATTATTATTATTTTCTGCAGGGTGAAAAAGGTTATAGGTTGGATCTCACAGACTCTTCCCACAGAATGTTCCTCAGGCGCTTATTAGATTTCTTCAAGCCTTCACAAAAAAAATACTCACACACCGATTTAAGCAATACTCCAATGGATTCTTCTGAACTTACCAGCAGTGGCCTCGAATTTGTTAAATATTTGGCAGAAGTAAAAGATCCCGAGTGTCAGGCAATGGTTTTAGATTTTTTCAAAGACGTCTACACCCAAATTACTTCAATTTCGACTAGCAGGAGTGTCCACGATTGCCTGTTCAGTCCTGCACACATGCACAACACGCATTGTCAAAGCTATTTTTTGTTTATTGGCCAATTTGCTAGAACCGAATCTGGCCTAAGCATTTTGGAGAGTATAAAGATGTTTTCTTTGTAAGTAGATGATTGTGTGGCTATAATAAAAAAACACTAAATTTTATAGACTTCAAGAGCTGGCAACAACAACAAGACTCAATTGCTATGTAAAATTGATCATTTCGTCCCTGGATTACAGCTGCCCTGGACCTGCTAGGGATATTTTAGATGCAGTTTTGACATGCAACGTTAAACCTTCCCGATTATACGCTACACAATTTTTGTTGGTGTTACTTAGAACCGGTTATCCTAGTTTCGCTGGTTGGGCAGTTCGACTGCTCTGTAAACAGTTGGAAGATGAATTTAGTAAAGTTCGTTTGTCGGCTCTAGCTATTTTGCAAGAGGCATGTGAATTGCCTGATTGTCTAGAGACTTTGACGGACTTGCAGATTAATTTGGCTAAATTGGGTGAAAAGGGGGAAATGGTTGCTGTTAAATTGTTGTCCACTGAGAAAGGGTATAAGAAGCTTGGAGAAGATAAGGTAAAGTTTTAGTCTATTTACTATATAAAATACATTGCAATAATCCAGTAGTATAAATAATATGATAGTATTTCATGATCTATATTACCATTATGACAACAAAATTGAAATTGTGGAAGTCTCCTTTGTTTCCTTTCAAAATTTGTGTGTGAATTGAATTAAAAGTTTTTTGTTCAATTAGGTTTTGGCTGCTATAGCTAAATGGGTCACCACAATGAACTATAGATATACAAAAATAGTGGAAGGAGAAATATCGGATTGTCTCACTTTACATCAGAAAAACGAAGATGGGAAATATGATGACCAGCATACATCGAATTTGAGTGGGACAAGGAGCAATTACAGGTGAACAGATCTTGATATTATTGTGTATCCCTAATGTAAGGGTGTGGAATTGGGTGTCCTAAAGGCCTCATGTTGTTCCCTCAATGAATCAACGACATTTTATTGTTATTGCCGAATGCCCATTTATCTCTTTTCTATAAGATTTACTTGGTAGATTCTTTTTTTGTAATGGAAAAATTGCTTTTACATTTTTATGTCACTCTAGGAAAGACATAATTCTGCCACCTCATCTCTATGGCCAACTAAACCAATACGCAGAAGGATTTCAAAAACTTACAGCTAACGGCTCTATAACTGCATTGATAGAGGTACCTAGCTAATTTCGCCAAAGTATTTAAATAATTGATTTTTTAATTTCACTCAGCTTATCCATAAAGGAAACTGCTCTAATGACAAAGAGATCCTTCAACTAAAATCGGCCCTCTGGGCTGTAGGCCACCTAAGCACCTCAAATATAGGCTTCGTCTATCTAAATTCTTTGGAGTTTGTTGGCAGTATGATTCGAATAGCAACTAAATGTCCAGTTTATGGGGTGAGAAGCACAGCATTTTATGCTTTAGGACTAGTTGCAACAACTACCATTGGATCTGACGAGCTTTATTTAAACGGTTGGCTATCGACAAGACATAACAGGTACACAATAAATAATTTAAATTAAATTGTTCACATAAAATTGGTGTTTTCAGACACAAAAATTGGCCAGTGTTGCAAGAAGAATTATTAGACGAAATGTATGTCTCGTATTTTGCAAACTCTAAATGGGAAGAAGACAAGGAGTCGTCTGAGAAACTGGATGGGATTCGAGAGGACGACGAAATTACTCTAAGCGAAGAGGATGAGAGGTTGATTGAATATCCTGCCTCACCAGCGTTAAGTCCAGGTAATATTTATTATTTCAAAATGGAATTGGTTTCTTTTAGTTCAAATGACGTATTCATAACGTTAATTCTTTGCCTGTCTAGTATTTAACATGTGTATTTTTCCGAAGAGTTTCTTATATCACATTCTGATTTTCAGACATTTGCAAAATCAAACAATGGACCTTACCAGCTACCCGATCTCCATCCGAAGTAGGTCACAAAAGGTACCTATCGGAATCAAAAACGTTTGACGGGAGCAATGGCTATGAGGTTGACCACAGATACGGACCATATGAAAACGTCATTACAAGACAAAGAAACAGTTCCATGACAGAAAGTACAACTTCCGGTGTCAGTTCCTGCGATTCATTGCCCAACCGACAAGGAGGAGGGTAAGAATGTTATTGTTTTCCACAAAGATTTTATTAATACTTTTATAGCCCTAGCTATTTGCAGACTCTCAGCCCTATTCCTAGTTCGACCAGTTTGAGTATTTTGAAGTTGCCGCATCCATTCGAGCGGCGGATTCATAAAATTTCGACGAACAGTGAGTGATCTATATACAATTAAACACACGAGTAGTTCATTAGTGCATTTATTTAAGGTGCTGGTTCCGAAGCTTCAACTTCCTCACTGTCAGGAAGTAACACAAATGATTTGAGCTTACAAAATATGCTCGGATATCAGACAATAAGGTATATACGAAGAAGAGATTCCCTCAATTTTCAGCGTACCGAGAGGGATGACTATTTATTTAGAACTCCACCAATCAAAACGTAAGAAAAATTTATATATTTGACAAAACATTGAAGATCTTATTAATATTTTTCAGGAGCCGCCGTACTGTAATTGACAGTATAAACAGTTCAGAACCTAGAGCTACAATACACTATTCCAGCTTCTCGATGGCCAAATTTGAGCCTATATACGAACCGATTAAAACTTACAAGCCCAAAGATGCTATTTATAGGGGTATTTGTTTGCCTCGGTGTCTAGATGATGTGTTTCCTAGTGAACAACAGGTAAGCATTGAATTTGACCAGTTCTTATCCATAGAAATTATTGATTATCCAAAACGGTGAATCTTTTTTTGCAAAGGCCTTTTTGAGGATAATTTAATTTCATGTTAAAGGACCACGCACAAATTACATTGGAAAGTGGTTTCAGTGAAATTGCTTTAATTTTTGATATGTTGTCCTTCTAACCCTCTTGTTTGATTTTCAAAAAAATATATTGTGGGGTCGATTGGATGGTTTTGCCGCTACAAGGAAAAAAAGGCGCGCCAGTAATTTAAAAAAAAAATAAGACCCGCATCTTATTACCACAGCATATTTTTGCCACTTCGTACTCTGTTTTCTTCTAATAACGTCTTTGAGAATAATAGATATTTTTGGACAATTCTTGTATACGACTGATAAAAATTTATATTTGATGGTTGTTACCTTTTGTGTCATTCCAATGCTACAACAATTGGATATTGACCATAAAATGCCCAATAATGTCAGAGCCGGCGAGCTAGACCTGTTGGTCGAAGAAGCCAATACTAATCGACTTATTACCAAAACTCTTTGGATTATTGAGGCCAGAAATAGACATTTCAAGTCAATTTTCAATTTTTTTCCGGAAGTAATATCAGATCACCTAGGAGAATTTCACAAAATCAATGAATATGACGATTTAGTTGTTACGAGAGGAGCTGATATTGCCCAGGCTGTAATTTTATTACAAAGAGCAAGAGAAGAAAACAGGTTAAAAGTTACCGTTGATAACGAGAATTTACTTCGAAGGCATGGTAGATTTGTCAGTTTAGAAAATAATCATATTCCTGGTTTCCCACGTCTAACTTTAGAATATCTCAGGAACCTTACAGTTGGAACGTACCAGTTAAAGCAAGCGCCATCATATATCTAAGATGCGACACGACGAGAACGGAATGACGATTTGTAAATTGATTCGATTAAGAATATGGTCCAGATTTCAAAACCGCATCAAGCATCAGATCTGGATCGAATATGCTCATTGAATAACTGGATATTACTGCACCTGCAAATCAGAAGCAAGAATCGTTGGAACTTGTGCACATTCAGTGTCTTATGGTTTCTGGAATATTCAAGATTTGAAAATAATATAAAATATCCCTCAGTTAAGCTACTTGAACATATTGGCGATGCCGCAAATAGACACCACAATCCCCATGATGATGTTCCAGTTAGTCACTATAACAAAGCATAACCCTATCATTTTCTGCGTAGGGGCTTATATATTTGAAATTCATATTTTGGCAGTTTTCGTTTTGTGTTCAGTTTTGCGATAGTTAGTTCAAATAATGAAAAAACTTATATTTAATATTGGGTGTACAAAAATGGCGAAAAAGCTCTCCACGCTACGTTGTAGGGCTGTAGGGGACTCTGGGACCCCAGAAAAATAGTTTAAAAAATATAGTTTTTCTCAGTTCAAGTTATTTGAAGAAAACGGAGTACAGAGTGGCAAAATTGGCCTATGCAAAAAATATTCAGGGCTAAACACCACCGAGACACACGCGGTTGCACTCTCCCGGCGGAAACTTCAGTTTCACTGCGCCCAGTGCATGGTTGCTTCGAAGGACGCCCAGAGTGAAGGGAAAAACACTGACATTGTCGAATTAAGATCTCCAGTGACTTCACTGTGTGAGTTAATTGGAAGCCAAACATCAATTCGTCAATGCCAGAATGTCGAGTCTCAATGTCCTAAACCCACTGAGAGCCTTGAAACTGAGCTGAATAATGCATTAACTTTCGATTCCTCGTTTACTTACCATTACACACATTACTGCTGCCGACTCTGGTAGAGCTACCTTGTGTGAAAAGCAATGTAGAGTTGCAAGTTTTGGTGAGGAAATACGGAACTTGCAAGTGAACTAAAATTTTCCAAATTTGTTTTAAATTGATAGTTTATACTGCACATTATTTATATGACCGGTTTTTATTTAACTGATACTGCCCTTGATACACAAAAAGTGATACAAAGTTTGAAAGTTTGATATAACACGCTCACTTCTGTTGTAGTCGCCCAGTGACATTTCCGACGGTGCTGCCATAGCGGTGTAGTCATTGAACTAATATTTGGCGGGCCGTTTGAATCTCGGTTTCAAATGACTCGTTTGACATTTCAATTATTTCAAAATAAAACAGTGCTTCAAAACTTCATAAACTAAAATTTTATACATTTTATTTTCATATATTTGTGAGAATCACTTAATGAATAAAATAGTCTATCTATAATCTAGATGATTTGGCGTATCTGACTCATAAGCTAACTGAAAAACTTTCCAATTTGCTTTTTGAAAATGTCCATTTTCCGTTTGAATGACTGTCATATTTGATCAAGTAATTTATAATTCCCTTGAGCATGTATTATGGAGCATCATACAGTGGCACTAGGTTGTTTATCTCCAACAAAACCAAAATTTCTGTTTCTGTGTTGTTCTTGATGTAGATTTCCCTGGTGTGTGGCTGCAATTTGCTTTTGACCGATTTATTTTTTGCCGCCTGTCACACATTGTGGCAACAACTCTTAAACCGGCTGCTTGTGATGCACTTATTAATTCTTTCACAGTCTTGGAATTCAAAACAATCAATGACGATGCACTCAACAAATTAATGGACCTTTCTCATTTTACCTGTGCTGCGCGCGCATCTTGTGGGTGACAGATAATTAAATCGTCAATTTACTGAACACGGTCTGACCCTGACGTATTTAAGCTAACCTCAATAATCAATCAGTATCAATCAATATTGCTGAAAATTAATACAAAAACTGTTTATGATACAATGGTTCAAATGAGTTGAATGAATTCTTGTCAGAATTAGGCGAAAAAGAAGTGAAATCTTTCTTTTCACAAGTTCCCAGGCAATCAAATTGTAAGAAAACAATAGTAACGTGCTCTCAATCCGAATGAAGACGATTTAAGTTGGGACAGAGATTTGAGGGTTCGTAAAATAACGATTTTTATAGCAAATACAATAATAATGTACAATTAAAGGTTTGCTGCAAACATTTTTGCTGCGGTGGGTTTTCTTTCTAATTAATGTTAATACTTACGTATTTTGTCATATTTACGTTTAAAAGTAATCAAAAACAGAAACATAACCGAAATTGCACAATTTGACAAGTGGAACCAATCAAAGTCATTCCACACAGGTATCGCGCGTCATTATATGTGTCTTTTTCTTTATTGCAGAAATCTTAATAAACTATCCTTGTTGTTCATTGCATGAGAAAGGTCCATTCAGATGACATATGCATTATTTTATGATGTCAAATGGACCTGCGTTTTTATGACTGGTTTTTATATCCACCATTCTATGTCGGTCATTGTCATTTCCTATCCAGTAAACAAAGTTAGCTAACTCACCGGTGAAGTCACAGATTAGAATAAAAACGAGGGGGACGTTGAGAAACGGCGATATGGGCGCACAGCGGTGTAGTCATGAACTACAACAAAAAGTGGAGGGGATCAATCCAGTGAATGTTCTATTTAAGAATTTATAAATCACTTTTCTATGGTCACGATTCTGTAAACAAACCCGTCAATATGGAACATGCAAGTAAAAAAAAAAATTACAAAAGCAGTCCTTTACAATATTCTTCATCCATTGCGACAATTTTCACAAAAAGCAAACTTTAACACACTTGAATAACACAAAAATAGCACTGCGTCAGCAGGAGTTAGGAGTTCGTTTGCTGCGTATTTGTTGTTTACAAAATCTTAACATGACAAGCGCTGTCATATTGAGATTTCGTGTTTTCGCGCCAAAGTTTTTGATTTGATTTTCAATAAATTTTTTTTCATACAATGTATAAATTAAAATGGAAAAAAAAGGAAACTATAACTGATCACTAGAAGTATCTAAAAAAAAAATAATTTGAGAAATATGAAAATTCCCTATTACTAACCTTCAGGAACTTAATTAGGCAATTCAATCCATCTGTCAGATAGGGAAATTCAATATGGCGTGGCGGCCAAGCAAGTTTGTATTGAATGTGTTTTTATGCGTATTTCAAATTATTTTGCTTAGAGTTTTGCTTGCAACTTTGATTTGGACTATTTAATAAAATATTTGTTGACTAGGTATCTAAACTAATAAATCGAGCAGATTCTAGATATTTTTTTCTGTTTTTTGGCCCATGTGTGGCCGCCACGCCATCTTGAAAGTCACGTGGTTTGAATTGCCTAATAAGAGCTCGAAGAATAAACTTTTCGCAAGTGAAGAAGAACGCGCTGAAATAATAAGCAACCTAGATGATCTTAGTGATAAACACAGACATGCTAAATTCCATCAGAACTCTTGAAAGCGATTTAGAAGCATACAGACATGACATGGATAATAATAGCTATTTATGTACCAAGGGGATTATGTACATTAAAATTCCCTGAAGGCAAGACTAGCCCGAGGAATATATTTCGCCTGAAGGGCATTATAATCTAAAAATCCCAGTGGTGCCTACAATGCTTTATTTTCTACTCAACACAATGTTCTTTCATCAATTTAGTATCAAACAAAATCAATAATGAGTGAATATCATTTGGCAGATCTGTTTTAATCACAGATTTACTATACTAATTATTTAGTTTAAGAGGGGCGATTAAATAAAATGTCATTTACAGACCTTCACAAATTTCTGTTCAATTCCAAATTTAGACCATTTTCCAGTGAAATGAAGTTATGTTCATAACAATAATAGATTGGAGTATGAGTCGAAGCATTTTTGGTTGCAAAATTCGCAGTCTAAATAGTAAAATTATTACCACTTTTGTTGACAACACTATGCAAATTTTGGTCACGGATTTAAATGAAAAAGGGATAAACACATAGAGTAGCACACCAACAATAAATTACGAATCATAAAATGCTGGGATAAATGAAAAGAACAGAATTTCCGTTAATTTATACGTTTTTATTCCAAAATTAATCTTAATTTGAGTGCGCATTGGTTGTTTAAAAGTAGTGTACACATTTTATCTCTCACTCCAAAAAGTTGA